AATTTTATCAGTTATGACAGATTATTTCATGGCTGAAGTGGCCTGTAGACATTGTGACTTTGAAATTAGTAATTTTTTTTTGCATTTTAACACATGAAGGGTTGACTAAAACTGTTTTATGTGGCCGCTATCCACAAGGAGGAGGAGGCTGTTTATTCTGCTTAATTGGAGAGATGGAAAAACACACAGACAACTTCATAGTAAAATTATTTTTTGTTTAAATACCCTAGTGCAAAATGACCCAACTTACAAGAAGCCTTTATTCAAATATTTTACATTAAATATTTATTTCTTTTTTTTTTTACATTTTAAATCATGACTGAGCGTTTTGTGTTTGTTTTTCCTGGATCTAGGTTAACCATGTTTACTGGCAGTCGCAATTGTGTTTCAGGAAGTTCCACTTTTATTATGGCCACTCCTGAAATGAGTGTTAAAATTTAATGTAATTATCTTATCACCATGTGTTACAAGGTAGCTTACCTGGAAAATCCCACAGCCTAACCCTTCCTTGATCTGACGCACCTAATCCAGGAATAAATAAAGACAACTTCCTGTCAAGACAGAGGAGGTCTTTGCTTTTATCGTTATATGTTTAAGGTTGAGATAGGGCGGAAATGACAAACAGTGGGTCAGTGAATGGCTGGACTGTGTTGCAACTCGACCCTGAAACTAATACTACTTTTTAAATAGCATTTAAGTACGTCAGGTGTTGTGCGTTATTTGAGGGGAATTTACAACAAACTGCTGTTCAGAGATTAAAACCACCAACTGATGCTGCAGTACATTTTTATGTAAAGAAAATGCATGAAGATGATGACAAATCACAATCAAATGATATGATTCTTAACAATGAGGCTGTCACAAATGTTTTGTTATTTCCCAGAAGCATGATGTGAGCGGGCACCTCACTTCTTTATTATAGTTCTGTAAACGAGGGCATATCAAAACACACAAATCAAATGTACAATATATAAAGTCTGAGTTCTTAGTTGGCACATTGGGATTACATTCGTTAAATGAGCGTGGTTACTTTCCAAAGCAAACCTCACATTTTATCAATAAATGTCAGCATTTTGAACTTTAAGTTTAAATCACTGAATATTCAACAAACAAATCAACCAACTCAGCAAACAAATCAACCCACTTAGCAAACAAATCAACCCACTTAGCAAACAAATCAACCCACTTGTGTTCTGAACTTGATGCTATGTGCCCGAAAAGGACAACAAAGTCCATTGAACCAGTTAGACCAATAAGTCAGGTGTCAATTTAAGTGCAAAATATTTTGAACAATTTTTTAGGGAAAGTGCCTGTCAGAGTTAATCTCTTTCCACTTTTGGATGTCATTTGTATCAGCTGGTATGTGCAGTTCAGTAATGTACTACTGCAAATGTATGATGCATAATGCATAAATTCCAGCTTTGTAGAGTTAAAGCTGCTATGTGTATATTTTTTTATGTTCTTATAATTTAAATATTCAACATAATTGAAGTTATGACAGCATATGACACACATTCCAGTGAATATTGGTGCAGTTTGTGTTGCTTTCAGCCATTTCATCCCTGTCTGGTGGAGGGGTCTGCCACAGCATCTTTTAAAAAATAAAAAAACACCAGTGGGGGCCACTATAGTCAGACTTTTATGGTTCTGTTGCAGGTTCAATATCGGAGGTGTTTTTTGTGTGTACCAATTACAATGTGCACTTATCAAAAGCGCACAAAATAATTTTACACAAAAGATTTTCAATGCCAAATATTTAAGATATAACTAATGTGTCAATATAATGCACAGTTACAGTGAATTCCAGTCAGACTAGAAGTTTACATCAGACCGGGTGGGCGAGTGAATGTGCTGAAAATAGTGGTAGTAGTTGAGGTGGTAGTGGGGTCAGGCTCGGGGCCCATGGGTTCTCGGATACAGCGCATATTCCCAGTGCTGAATACACACTGCAGTGGCCACAACACGATGACAATAAGCAGCACCATGAGCACAATGAAGAGCACCATCCTTTTCCAGTCTGCCAGCCGATCCAGTCGGCCAAAAGTCCGAGACCCCGTCTGGATCGGAACGTCCACTGTCTTGCTGGCTCCAATGTCAATGCAGACGCAGAAAGCCGTAGGACTGTCAGGGGTAGCCGAACCAGAGTTGTGCCTGGAGCTTTTGTAGCACAATTTCTCCCCTTCCAACCACACCGGCTGCTCCTGCTGCTGGTGGCTGGGCAGCTTGCAGAGGACCTCGTGGCTGGTGGTCAGGGCCGGGGGTCCCTCCTCTGGCAGCAGGGTAGAGTGACGGCAGAAGGGGCAAGAGAGGCGAGTGCTGCTGCCATTACCATCTGGTTCAGCCAGCGAGACAGCCATGAGGCGGGAGAGGCACTCCAGGCAGAAGGTGTGGGTGCACTCCAGCAGCTTGGGTGTTTTGAAGACATTGTCGTAGGTGTTGTAGCAGATGGAGCACTCCGGCTGGCTCACCACTGACACCTTCTTCTGCATCTCTTCAGCAGTGTCCTGGTGGGCGACCTGCATGTGCCAAATCTGCGTAGACTGTTCCATCTTCAGAAATATAAGCTCACTCTCTCCTATGTCGAGTCTCCTCTGGACCCTCTGGCCTTCTCTTTCCTCACCCTGGTCTGTCCTTAACTGGATTATCCTAAAAGAGAATGAATGAAAAGTACAGATTTTCATATTTCAGATCATATCCCCCTCCTGCTATCATGAAAACTACACAAGCAAGTGCAAACAATTTTTTCAGTCATGCACAACCATAATCCCAACTGGATTTCAGTCATCAGTGTATATTTTATACAGCCCAGTTGAATGCTGAACTTTGAACAATGTTAACCCTCAGGCAGAGCACACATAATATTACAAAGCAGACAGGATTTTGGTCGGTCAATGAGTAATTCAATCACGGGTGTTGTGCAAAATGGGTCAAATGTGTTGAGTGAAATTGTGGATTTACTAAAGCAGAAGCAACAAGCACAAACAAGTGAGTCAGTGAAGTGATGTGCCAGACACGATTGGCCAATGTCCACCCCTATAGTCTTTATAGTGTGGGCAAGATGTTCCGCAGGTGCAGTGAGGGTTATTGTTTAGATGGAGTCTTGTGTTCTTAAGGAAGCTAATAAAAGATATCATGAAGGCTTGAATAGGAAAAACCATGACAAGCCATATTCGAGACCCTTAATTCCACCATAAATCATAAAAATTATAAACCTTTACTGACCAAGAATAAGTCCCCGGTAGTACAGTTTGGTGTTGTAATGCTTGACCAGTGAATGACTCAGTGTCCCTGTCATTAACAAGCACCATTTGCTGAGCGTCATATGATACATTGTAGATGGAACGTTTTTGCTTGCTGATAACCTGAGCATAGAGTTGATCGAGTGCAAACCTTATAGTCTTCACACTCTCAGGCTGACTGATGACGATGATTCTGTACAATGTGTTTGTGGAAGAAACGTTTTTTCCAAATCAGTATCGCTGCTACGTTTGGGGCTCATCTGCTTTACCTTCAAATATTTCCATATCAGTGTAGGTGGTGAAAATACAGAATCTGTTATCTAACTAATGATTAAACAAGCAAACTGAAAACAGTGTAGCCCGCTTGCTATCTTGCTAACTATTTTGAGCTAAGTTCCTGTTAGCTTTTAACCCTTTAACACCACTTGGAGTGGATATTTAATTCGCACTTTTTAAAAATGTACACAATGACTGAAAATACAAAAGTCAAATCTTTTGACACACATTCACATTCATGTAGCTTTTTATAATGCTACGTAGCATCCTGTGGGCTGAACAGAGGCCAAATTGCAGTGACATAGAGTTTATCTCTATCTGTAGAAAGGAAAACAACTAACTAACTGACCCCTGAGACCATGTTAACCTGTCACCTGTAAAACCAGTACAGTGTAACATGTTTATGTAATTAAGACAGATAGTACCAGAATACCCTCAGTATCTTACCCATGTCTTATCAAAGAAGACCTTATCAGACTGCATAGTTTGTGCTGTTTACAGTTATTCAAAAGAGTTGAGTATTTTACTGAGCAGTTTGCATATAGTGGTAGCCAGTGGGGCATGCAAACGTACACCAGCTGACACAGGGAGTCCTTGAGCACCTTCTTGCATCAAGCAGCCGATGAAAGATTGGGTGAGTTACAGCATGTGGATAAACACAGGCTGCTTTGTTAACGTGACTTTTTGAGCATGTGTGTTCAAATGTGTATATCAGACAGTACAGGAACTTTACAGGAGCTAATAGACCAGACCTGTAGGTCACCAGGAGCACGGTTGAATAGTGTAAAGTCTGCTGGGCTTTGAGGACCAAATTGCTGCTCTTTTTGGAGCCTCGTGTTTTTAGGATGATAATAATATTACATGGTAATACGCTGCCTGCTGGTGTTGTGGGTTAAGTTAAAGACCCCTAATGTGAGGGAGACTATGTGTGTTTGTGTGCTGGGGATGAAGGATGGTCAGAGCACAGGTGCTCTCTTCTCTGTGCCCTCGGGGCTGGTCCTGCCCCAATACTCCCATCTACACAAAGTCCCTGCTTGTTCTCCACCTAATCACTTCATCTACCCTTGAAATTCCTGCACTACTGACTCTCTCTCTCTCTCTTCGTCTCCACTGAATTT